TCCTCTTGGCTGCTCTCTTATGCACCGAATTAACTTGCGCCACTCCTAGTTTTGTACCATCTTCTTATCTCCTTTAATGATGTCATACAAGTCAGTGATGGCCGGTGTTCAAAGAAATTTTACCACTTATAATAGTTTCAGTAATTTTGAAACTACTTCGCCTTACCCATGGTGGTGAAACAACAACAACAACAACAAAGCCTTAATCTCACTACGTGGGGTCAGCTACATGAATCTTTTTTCTCCATTACGTCCTATATAGTGTCATATTTTCATTTAGTTCTAGTAAATTAAGATCATTTTTAATATAATAAGCCCAAGTCTTCCTATGTCTACCTCTTCCTTTCTTAATACAAGTCGAATCTAAAACATCTACTCTCCTAATCGGATCATCAGATGGTCGACGTTTAATGTGACCAAACCATCTAAGACGACTTTATATAATTTTGTCTATCACAAGAGCTACACCAACCCTATCATGGTGCTGAAAGCATTGCAAAAAATCATGGCATACGAAAACATGTTGGAAACTTCATAGTAAACCTGTGAATTGTAAATAAAAACTCAAACGAGAACGTCGAGCCTATCAAGCCACTATCAATGAAATTAAGAAGTCTTTTTGCAAACTTTGGATGTAGCCTATTTTGTCACGACCCATCCCGAGATTTTGAAATAACCAAAACGGGAACAGACGGTCGGACGATGGATTTTAATTTTCTATTATTCTATTTTTATCACTAATAGTTTAATATCCGCATATAAATTGAAAATAACCATTAAAAAAGTAACTTAATTAACGATTAGATATTTGCATTTTTTATTATTGAACTCGACTTTTATACATATTGGTTCTTATTTTATTTATATTATTCAAAAGCTTAAAACATGAAAAAAAATATTAAAACAACATAATGTGTTATCTAATGATAACCCAGTAGAGTAATCACGCTTCTAAAATTACAATAACTCAAGGAAATGAAGACAACATATGCTAGTTTTTCATATTTCATTATAAAAAATTCATGTAATAATCTAATGCCTGTATTCTTGACTTTTATTCTGTGGAAGTTATCTAAATTTTCTTCTATGCATTGATACGATCTTAGTGCTACACACTAATTCAAGTCAAGTCCCTGACAACGACGTCAAAAACTTGATCTAACCCGTAATTACGCAGTAATTTAGCTTCCAAAAGATGGTAAAAAACTTATCAAAATTGATATTTAGCGGCTAGTGTGCAAAATCAAAATGTTATAAAATTTAGAAAATAGTTTACACACTTCGTTTTAAGTAATATAGGGTTTTCTTTAAAGACCCCACTATCGATCCCACAGAGAAGCGAGGTAAGAAATCACTTAGACTATTCTAGTCTACTACTATCAGGTCTTAGTTTGGACTTTCTGAAAGGTTTGGTTTTCCTAAATCCACTAATTTACGCTAAAATTATAATTAACTAAATTAAATAAAAATCAAATCTAATGAGATTGATTGAATTTTGGATAGATCTTAAATATTTAAATCCCTTTTCCCTTGCGATGAAGTCATAATTAGTGTCTAGATTATTCACCGTGCCCTCTCTATAGGACTTACCAGGGACC